TTAATTTTCTTGTATTAGCATGAAGTAAATAAATAAATAAATAAAATCTAGTAAGTCCAAAACATTTGTGAACCTATTCAACATCTTCCTGATATGTTGACACTTTACCTTGTAGTTTTTTTTATTTATTGAATCCAGTGGTTATTTCATATTTTTATTGTTCTAACGGTTTTCAAGTTGCTGATCAAAGATGCATTTATTTCAGAAATTATTCATGCCTTATTTAAAAAAAGGTATTTCCAAAAGGCTTTCTAAAAATCGTGGGATAAACCGTTGAGAAAATTTAGTGTACACTCATAAGGAAATGCAAAGGTAATGTAAGGTAATCCAGAACAATATAAACATTTCTGAGCAATTTAGAGTAATGCAAAGGTATTTGGGAAGATTTTAGGAAGTACCACTAAAATTTCAAGGGAAGTAGTTCAAGTGTTCTGCACATACAATGGACTAGATTTTAGTAGAGCCGTTAGTGTACAACTACGTCTAAGATGCTGGGACCTGTATTAAGATCATGTATTGTACTGGGTGTTTCAAGAAAAATGTACGCTCATGCAGAGATTCCTCATTCAGAAATAAGATTCTCTCTCGCCACCGATCCCCTTTTACTTCGTTTCGAAGATATAGGAAGTTAAAGATATTTAATTTTTTATTTTTTTTTTAAATCTCCGGAATTAGTTCAGTAATTTGATTAAAATTTGAGTTGTGAAAAAAACTTAAAATAATATTCACAACTTATCCGAAAAAATTTGGGAATAGATGCGTCATGAAAAATAGAGTCTATAACGAAAAAATTTTTTGTAAAATCCTTATAGTTTCCGAGAAAAAAATTATTGTAGTTGTAGTTGTGGCGCTCCTTGGGAGACCCTATTTGGAACCCAAGGAACTGAGAGAAGTGTCAGCAAGGAAGCTTTTGGACTTTGTAAAAAGGACAAATCTACTTGCTGAATAGGACTAGTAGTGGGACGCACAATAGGCCTAATTAGGCCGCAGTGCTATGGGACTTTTAAAGGACCAACCACTAGATGAAGATGAAGGATGAAGGAAAGTTGTAGTTGTAATATTTACAACTTTACATCGCTGGACTACTGTAGTCTCTAGCGTCATTCGCTATGATTCCGAATAGTGTTTACATTAGTTTTAGTAATATAGCAACTCGCAGTTGATGGAGATCGTTTTATGGACCGAAAAACGCCGGTGGACTAAATTTTGAACAGTTGTTGTAACATCATGTCAAATTACTTTATGAATTAAAATCTCAAATACATTTTATTGATTAATAACGATAGCAGCAAAAGCAGTTGAGCATGCTTATGTAAAATAGGTGTTATAAAATTTTATTTATTTCTTTCCTTGGGAAAGAAATTCTTTGTCCGTTCATGCTGCATGCTTTGCCTTGCACAGGGTCAGGTTTTACAGTGGACCAATTTCCAATGCCGTGCAGGAGTGTATTTTTAAATTATTTTCGAACTGCCCTTTTCGATTTTTTTTTACAAAATTGTATTTGTAAGACTCCCCTGTACAATTTTTTCTTTTCGAATAAGTTCTGAATCACCCTGTATATCTTAATGTAAAAAAAATAGGATCAAGAGAGCGCACACGGGCTGGTGCTGAAATAATTTTGTAAAAACATACCCATATATGATAATACTGAGGGAGAATTACGGACTTAAGCTGAATGTTGGCCATTTTCACTGTTTTTTACGATTTTATTGAATTTAATTTATTTAATAAATAATAAAAGTAAAATCAAAGATGTATAAAGAGAAAATTTTTATTATGCATTTAATATGTTACATAATTGGACTAATAAAAAAGCAAAGAGTCCAGAAATTGCCAGCTCACACGTAGATGCAGCCGTTCAAATTTTTAATTTTGAAACTTGTATTTTTTAAGTACCTTTACAAATTTCATTCAAATTTCTGAAACTGATCCAAAAATATTTAGAAAAAAAAATAAAAGAATAAAAATCAAACAAAAGGCAGCATAAAAACGAAAATTAATATAATATACCTTTATACAGGGTGTCGGCAAATTTAACGTTTGACTGTATATTTAGGACGATAAATAAAAACGATCTACGAAAAAAAAGTTAAATAAAAAATTTTTGATTTTTGTTACAAGCTTTCAAAGTTGTCTAAAATAAAACTAATTTAATTAATAACTTCATAACCCTCTTGCCGATCGTGTTAAAATTTGGCACATTTATTTTGTCTATTATGGTGTATTATTTCTTAAAGTTTAGTCAAATCGATATACTGGGTGATAGTTTTCTCCGGTTACTTCTCTTTTTTAGAGGTTAAAACTTTTACAGTGGTTATTTTTTTTAAACGGGCAGCAACATTGAAAAGATCGTTTTATTTAAAATAAAATATCGTCTCTTGAAAAAATCGCCTGCAGAAAGCCATTATTGAGAAAAATGGCGTTATTTGCAGGTCTGTATGTTTCGATTTGCGTAGTAATGTCACGGATTTAAAACTTTGAGTCCAGTAGGCGATGAAAACAAGTTGATTGCTGTGACTATCAGGTAATGTCAATATGGTCGTGTTTCTTTAGGATTCTCATCACTCTGCACATGCAAATTATGAAAATTTACAACTTCGTTCATTGTAAAACAAAATTTGTCGGTACAAAACTATTTTTGAAGCAAAGTATTATCTTCCGAGAAGCCATTCACCAACCAGTGGCAAAATTGTAATTGTAATTGTGCTTTTTTAAATTTTGTGATCATTAGATTTATATACATTTAATTGTTTTGATACACTGTGGACACTTCATTATTTGCATGTGTGGAGTGTGGAGAATCCTAAAGAAACACGACAATAATGACATTACCTGATAGCATAGCAATCAACATCTTGTTTTCATCGCCTCCTGAACTAAAAGTTTTAAATCCGTGATACTGCTACGCAAACCGAAACGTACAGACCTGCAAATAATGCCATTTTTCTTAAGAATGGCTTTCTGTAGGCGATTTTCTCAAGGGACAATATTTTTTAAATGAAATGGCCTTTTCAATGTTGCTGCCAGTTCTAAAAAAATACGACCACTGTAAAAGTTTTGAACGCTCAAAAGGAGAAGCAACCGAAGAAGACTATCACCCAGTATATCTGTTTTACTAAAGCTTTAAGAAATAATACGCCATAATAGTCCAAATAAATGTGGCAAATTTTAACGCGATCCGTAAAAGGGTTATTAATTAAACTAGTTTTATTTTTGACAACTTTGAAAACCTATAACTCATAAACAAAAAAGTTTAACTTTTCGTAGATCGTTTTTATTTATCGTCGTGAATATGCAGTCAAACGTTGTCGGTGAAATTTGTGGACACCCTCTATTATACACCTTTATATTATATACCTGTAATTGTTTAAAAAATAAAGGAAAATAATTAAATTTTGTACATGATAACTTTGTCACAGTTTTTAAAAACTCTCACTTTTAAACTGTACATTCTATGAAAAACAAGTCAAATAGCACAAAAGTCAAATAACTTTTTCTGACAGTCGAAACACATCAAATATTTTCTAATTCCAACGCAACCGATAAGTAAAATATATTTAATACTTATTTTGGCTATCTTCGTTTAACAATATAATAACGAAATCCTTTAGTTTTCTTTTTATATTATTCACACTTTTTGGAATTCCTTTTAATAATAATTTCCCCATATTGTTGATTCCTGACTTTTTAAATTTTCCTTTCATTTTCATTATTACTAATTTTACATTTAGAGATCTCAGTCTCAACTACATAAAGATTATTACATCCACGGGGATATGTAGGTAAATATATTTTTAAATTTTTTGTTTGCAGTGTGGTAAGTTACTAAAAAATACTTTTTAAGAAATGTCACAAATAAATACTTTCAGGTATTAATAAGTGGTGTGAGAATATGTAACTTTATAATTTCACAAACTTTGTGTTACTTCATTTTAGAAGATGCTTAAAAATGACCACAGTGTATAGAAATATATAAGATATTGTCAGAAGTTATTTGTTTGTATTATAGTTTGCGTTTTTTTTTTTCTTTATTTTTCGGGTATTTTATCGCCTGCGAAAGAATTTAAAAAATAATTAAATAAACCTCATCGACAAAACGATCAGTCAAGGGTTAGTTTTATAAAAAATTTCTCCCTGAAGAAAGCAGACATATACAAAGTACAAAAAATACATTACTATATATCATGCACTTCAAAAAGTTTCGAAAATCTATCTTTCTTGATTTTTTTCAGTGTGAGGTTCCTGATTAGGTAAAACTATTTTTTATAAAAATAACCTTTGACTGATCCTTTTGGCGCAAGGGTTAATTTTTTAAAATAAATATGGTTGCTGTAGGTAAGGAAAACAATTTTTATTTTACAAAACAATGCAAAAAAATAAGAAATACAAAAAGAAAACTGATATAATTAACAATTAACTTTTTGACTACTGAGAACTCTACTTCTAGGTGAACCATTATAGACGATACTTCTTGAATAACATTAAATTAACATTAACATTTAATTTATTCTTGAACATAAAATAAAGTGCACCAAATTTGTTCTTATTTTCTACACCACTTTTTATCACCACCTTATTAGTTCCTGACGCAACTTGTTTTCAGGAATTATAATAATGTTTTTCATGTAGCGTACTAAAAAAATGTCACTTTAGTGATGGATGTGTTCGCTCGAGGGAAAGTTGCAAAATTGAAAGGAATCGCTTTTTCAACATAATGAACTGAAACTTTATATTCGGGCTAATCTTTTAGAGAGAAATAACTTTCCATTCAAACATTTTTCCCTAGGGTTCGAAATAAGGGTGCTTTACCCTTGGGCCGATTTGCGGTTTCCATCTGAGCCTCGTATATAACAAACGTTTTAGGATGTTCAATGGGCCCTATTTTGAATAGACGACATTCAGAGACAACGACAATCGAAGGAATTTATTAAATTTATACAAAAAGTTTTTTCCCATATGCTGCAAACTTTTTGGATAGTGCTGTATATGTATACAACAGATACTGAAAAATAGTTGTGTTTATTTGTTTGAATCAAGAATAGGTACAATCGGTTTATAAATTATGTTATTTTTTACAAACATGTCATTATAATAATCAGTTGAACTAAAATCGATATATTTGAACACTGTTTGCGGATATTTGCAATATAACATCAAATACTCTTCTTATTTTAGAGAATGATTGATGATGTCAGTGCACAGGCTCTTCTGTTGCTGGTTCCGAAGCAATATATTCCAAAGCGCGTTGTATTGCTTCTGGTACTTCTGGAGGAACAGGAAGATGGGCACCTTGAGGTTGGAATCCGTTTTCGTTGGCAATGTAAGAAAGCTGAATTGGTGTACCATCAGGAGCAGTGTACTGAAAAGATCCCTGAACTTCTTCAGCTTCAATTTCTTTATCACCAGCATTTTTTAATATTCCTTGTTCCTGAACTATTATACCATTTCCGGTTTCATAGGAAGACTTATAGGAGCCATCTAAACCTATTTCAACGTCTTGACTGATGATAGGTATGGGTTCGGTATCCGTAACATTAGCAGATAATGCTCCTGCTATAATGGCGAGTAATATTACCTGTAATAATATAAAAAATAATTACCATACTTATATTTATATTGAAGAAGTTATGGTGACAATTCTTTTATTGAATTAAGAAATAAAATTCTACTTAACGAGTGCGATCTCGTGCTCATTAATCATTCTCATGACTAGATAGTCAAATTTCATAATTTTCAAATAATTAAAAATGCACAACAGATAACATTTTGTTTTAGGGTAGCATTTTTATGTCAGTATCTTATAGTAAGACCGATTCTAATTACCAAGTTGGTAACCACGGTGAGAGATTTTAGTTCAGAATCATTTAGGAAATGGGTACATTCAGAACTAAAACAGACACAACGTTATTAATATATATTTACAAAATTTGTAATTTTTTGATTTTTGCTAAGCTATTCAAATATATTCAAAAAAATATTCTCAATTTATTTGGATTAGCTTAACACATTTAAAATAAAGTAAAAATGTGCGCTAACAATAATATTATTAGGTATTGTCTAAAACTATTTGATCGCAACGTAATTAACAGTTAACGTTAATTCTTTTTTGTTTAGGTGAATTTTTATATATAAGATATTGTTATACTAGGATTAAAATGTGCTGCTTTTTTGGCGAGCAAATTTTGTGAAGCGTAGTGTAGCTGATCGGATGCAAAATTACAAGACAAAAACGACACTTTTAATCCGAATAAAACATGCTATTTATTCTCCAACCGAAATCCCCCATTTAATTATTAATTTGTGATTTGAAATTATTCAAACCAAAGTATAATAAAGGAAAGTAGGTAAGTAGGATACATCGATGTAGTCATGGATAATTTGTCAAATATTAGTCGCCATATTGCTAACTGAGTTCATTTGTAATTGTTTGTGGTTCAATTTGCTGGAAACTGTACAAATTGAATCTAATGAAGATTTAGATGTACCTGAGGAGATACTGGAGTGTGCGAAATAGGTTTATTAGAATCTTCTGTCAAAGAAACCTCGAGAAATTTATGAATGTGTTTACCAACGTTTTATGGATTGGTGCAAAGAAAAAACATTAAGTTATATTCAGAAGATGTATTGACGGTGTATTTTTCAAACTTACACACAATATTCAATGTTGGGGTCAACAAAAGAAGGGGATTGATATAAGCAAATATTCAAAGTTACGTGCTTTTCTCAGGAGGCAAAATGAGGGATATGTATCGAAAAAATCGCGAGTATTTACAAAGGAGCAAGTTGATTGCTTTTTGAATAGTGCACCTGATAATTTATATTTGATGATGAAGGTAAACGCTTTAAAAATAAAAGAACAACATTTTTAAAAAGCTTCTTAATAGGTCGTTCTAATATTGGGGGTTGCAGGAGCATGCTGTTTTGATGAATTAGTTAATTTAACAATTGATAATGTTGAAGATGTGAAATCCGCTTATAAAAATTCCCAATGCCAAAACCAAGAGACCACGTTCCTTTACTATTTTGGGAGACAATTATTTAAGTTTTTATCGAAAATATGTTTCTTTACGTCCACCCGGGTTATTTCTCAGATATGTACGTGAAAACTGTCATCGAATGGTCTTTGGTATTCATAAAATCAGTGTACGTATTCACAATGCGTGTCACTGGGAGTACAGTGACTGGACATGCATTACGACGAACGTTTGCTATAAGACTCACTTTTGAATATAGAAAATATTGCGAAAAGAATATTGAAAGTTGGTAGTAGTAATGATAAACCAAGAACCGTTGTCATTTCTGTGTATATAATATCAATATGGATAAACAACAATTATTGTAAATATTGTTGAATAAACTTTTATAAATTAAAACTTGATTAACACATTTAATCTAAGGATTAAAAGTGTCAATTTAGCTCCTAGAATTAAAAGTGAATACTTTTCTTGCTAATATACAATTCTTTTTCTCAATAAGGAAAATGTCAACCTTAAAAAATGTTAATATCAAACAAAATACCTTACTTCGAAGAATTACACCTAAATATGTATTTGTCATTCTGGTTTAATTTTTAATAATAAACGGTTCTGATTACATATTTTACGGAAAAAGGCATTCTGAAAAAAAAATTATGTAAGAGTAAATTGTCCTATTTTTAGTGATATGAGAAATGTTATTTAACAAAATTGAATTTCAATTTTTCCAGAAAGTGACAAAATAAAAATTAAACAAAATAAACTATTTTGAACTAATCTTCAATCACTTTGTTGATATTTATTTATGGACTAAAGACATATACATATATACTTTATACACCAATCAGTTAATTATTTCAACCCACTTATTTTCTTATTTTAGAGCAATCGATGAATAGTAGTTTCTCTACACTGAAATGGTGACATATAACTGTTGTGTCAATTTGCTATGTATTGATAAAATCGTTTTTCGCTAACATCACTTTCTGATTTCATTCTTTCAAGACTGAACCTATGGTATTTTATTCCTTTATCAAACTGGGAACTAATATAATATCTACAATTTATTTACAAAAAGACTAATTTCTTTTCCTCTTTATTATTCCCCTTTATTGTATTCAAACTGAAACATATTCCATTAATATTTGCAATCTAAAAATATTTTTTTAGTTAGTTTTAAAATAGCGTTTTAACAAATAAATAAGTTTTATTTATAAAGTTATTAACTTAAAATGTAATAGGTTAGAGTTTTACTTTAGTCTCAGCGTATTTTTTACATTGTAACTGGAATACTAAAAGCAAAACATTTTTTTTTATTTAAATGCACTAAGATTAACAATTTTATTTAATTTAAAAATAATGGTGAGGAATTTATTTTCAATTAAGTATTCGTTATTGATGTAATAAATTAAAATGTTTTCGATAAGTATACCAAGACCTTGGAAAAGGAACATTAATATTGACATGTTAAAATAAAAAAGTGATAATTTTTTTCAATACTGTTAAACTACCTTTACATCAAGAAGTTTAAATGACATTTATTCAAACCCTTTTTATGTTTCAAATGTTTAGCTTTATTTTAACTTTTTATGCAAGATTCAGTAAGCTGTTAATTCAATATTAAAGAAAAAGATTAAAAATGTATCTACGTTCATTAATCAAATACCTAAGTGTAATATTGTAAATAAACTTACTGCTTTCATGATGTGTGCACACTAATTTTATTACTTGACTATTATTTTTTGTACCTGATTATTTATAGTAACAGTTATAGAATTGAATCATACAGGGTGACTAACTTAAAATAAGTAAAATACAAAAAAAATATTATTACTAGAAGATTAAAAATGTATTATTACTAGAAGATTAATAAACTCTGATGGGATAAAAGTTTTATGAGGTTCTGAAATTTATGTATCATTGATGTGTAAGACACAGAAAACAGTGAGTGACATCCAAGTGATCTTTTAAGATATTTTTATATGTTATTTGAAGGAAATAGCGCTCCTATGAGTATTAAAAATGATAAATTATATATTTTTAACATATTCACTGATTACGGAGTAAGAATATCTATGAATCAGCAACATCGAGTATTATGAGGTATTGCAACGGTCATGTGTTGATCGATATTCGATGAATACGCTTTTGTGACGCTGACTTTTCGCACGTCGCACAATACGTAAGTCTTTCTTGAACTATTGCATAAAATATTTTATACACATTGTGTACAGAAATTTAATATGAATGGTTTAAAATTGACCAGTCTTCCGAAATACCACAGAACAAATATTGTATGTTGTAAAATACTTTTTTCTGCCATGGAATTGTCACAAATAAAATTTTTGGCTATTGAAAAAAGTTTCGTTGCATATATAAACTATTAATGTACGGAAAATATATAAATATTAATCTTTGTAAGTTCCATCCTTTAGGTGTAAAAGCTGAACTATTTATCAGCGTTTAATTTCAAAAGTTTGGAAATTATACCAGCTGTGAAGTAATATTATGCAAAATAATTTATTTTAAAAATAGTCGAATGATTTTATTCATTCATATTTCTTATAGGATAAAATTGTATTTTTTGGTAGCTTAATTATTTTTTACTAAAAAAAATAAGTAAATTATTTCAGGAGTGTGTAGAGTCTTTTTGATTCAATGGTAGACCTATTGCTAGTAGCACTTTAGAGTAATATAATCTAATTGCTTTTTAATGTCTAATAAGATATTCCTAAATATAATGTTTATTTAAAACATCTTTATTTGTACCTACAATTATACATATTATTTCGTTTAGTTCTTAGATGTATTTTTTTAGATTCTAGTTTATGCTTAAAGATGTGGTCACCCTGTAGAAGGAAGAATACACATTAACACTATGGTGATATCATGATCAGTTTATTTATTTTTCGAATAAATTCGATATTAAGTTCCAATATTAGAAACGTTATGTAATTGTGCATGCCTTGCATGATAAGTTCAATATACTGTTGCCAGATATGCTTGTAAAATAAAGGATATCTTGAATTATTTATATTCTCCAGTAAGAGGAATTTTATATTAATAATTAAATTTTTTTCTGTTGTTTATTTTATTTTATTTTATTGACAATAAAACATAGCGGTTATAGAGCTAAGGTTTACAAATATGAGTATTTCATGTAATTATACGAGGTTTAATAAAAAAGTATAGGGAATTGTTATTTTAATCTTCAATTTTTATCCCACCTGCTTCAAAATAGCCCTTATGCCAACTTAGTTTCCAGTTTAAGAAATACTGGTGGAACGGCCTCTTTAGGTATCGTCTTGAGCACGGTTTGCAATTTTGCCTGTATCTCATCTAATGTTGAAAAACGTTGTCCTTTGAGTATCCTTTTGAGTTTGAAATAGGAAAAAGTTGTAGGACTCATATCTGGGGAATAGGTTGGTTGCGGCATCACAACGGTGCTGTGTTCTGGAGTCTGGAATTGTGGGGAGGGTAGCAAAGCTACAGCACTTAGGCCCCAATGGGCCCCTTGTACATCCTCCCATTAGAGGGATCAATCCATCTGAGCCGCCAACGGTGCTGTGTTTCGCCAAGAACTGTTGGATAAGCAAAGCGGTATGCACAGGTGTGTTGTCGTAGTCCAAAATCTACGTCTCTCGTGTTCTTGTCGTTTTCTCCTGATTGCTTTACACAAATTGCGCAAAACTTGTAGGCAATTGACTAAGCAATAAAAATTCGTAATGAACTATTCCATTATAGTCGAAGAAAACGGTTAGAAGGACCTTTACATTTGATCAGATCTAGTCTCATCTTCGATATCTTCTTGGCCTTCCTGAAAACATTTGTACCATCGATAAACTCTTGGCTGTGACCACAGTATCGTCGCCAAACGTCTTCTTTAACATTTTGAACGCTTCGCTGCACTTAATTCCGTTTTTAACACAAAATATCACACGAACTCCCTGATTCGACATTTCGCCACACAAAAAATCGCCGAACGAAATATTACAACGACTATAGATACAATAGTTTTGTATCATAACTAGTAATATTTAGAAATGAAATCATTTTTTAGGACTTCTAATAGCTGAATAATCTTCACATTCCTTTAAGAAATGTTTACCTAATATTATAGTTTAAATACAAACTGTATGAAGGAAAATTGAATAAATATTTTTTTTATATTAGAAGCAATACTATACATAGTGATCGATAAAAGAAATCGAGAGTAGTTTATTCATTTTTTTGTTACCTGGAATAAATTAAATACATGAAAATATACAAGGTACTAAAACTTCTCACTTGGAAAATATCAGAATTAAAATAAAAACCAAAAAAACCCTAGACGCGTCGATTTTTTTTTTCAAGGGTGGCACATGATGTCGTAAGTTTTGGTGTCTAAAATACCCTTAAGCTTTAAATGGCACCCTATGTTAAGTGACACTTCATTTTAAAGCTTTTTCAATTCTGCTCACGACGACATACGACTTTTTAAATTTTGGTTTGGATATGACAATAAAATCATCACTTAAAGAATATATAACGAAAATATTAACGAATGACAGAATGTTATTTTAATAAGCGTTCAAATTGGGTTACCTCCGCTTCCATATAATAACAAAATCTTTGCTCTACCTCCGAATGAACATTTTGAAGCATTTCTGACGATATTCTTCAACAATTTCTCGATAAAATAATTTGTTTTGATTTTTCGTTTATCTATCAATACAAAAACTCCATATTATATCACTTCAACTTTTTTACCTGTTTTACTTTAAACGAGACAATATTGTTTCGTCCTATCTTATCGAGACAATATCCCGTAAAATCATCACAAAGTCAATTGAATTCCAATTCGTGAAAGTGGTTTATATTGTTTTGTATTGTTTATTGCTGAACAAGTGCAAATACTTGATTTGTTCTACAAGAAATGACTGTGCACGGTAGGTAGTACAGATTTTTATGTTCGTCATTTTAACAAAAACACTTCCAATCGGTACGTCCTGGATTTAGTGCACAAATTTTCGGTTGCAAACAGAAAGCATCAACGTGAACAGGTCGTATGTAGTGAGGGTAATCAGGTAGCTGTCCTGGGTACATAGCAAAAGAACTAAATTTGAATCTCAGGAAACTTGCAAGTACTACAGGAATTTCTTTACCTAGTTGCCGCCGAATCTCAAAAATTCATAAGTATCACCCATACAAAATTATTTTGGTACAAGAAATTAATGAAGACGAAGGAATTCAAATTTTTTGTACTCAATCTATTTTTCCGATGAATGTACGTTCCAACTGGATGGTCGAGTCAACTGCCATAATTGCGCTACTGGAGTGGTGAAAATCCACGCAATATTCATGAAATTTATACACAGCATCCGAGGAAATTGAATGTTTGGGCGGGCATACTGGGAGACCACCTCATAGGGCCTTTCTTCCTACCGGGAAATCTGGATGGAAACATGTCTGAATCTACTGGAAACGAATATCTACCCGATGACTGTGGCAGTATTGGAAAATGACAACGCTTTGCCAGAAGAGGATGTGTGTTTTCAGTAGGATGGTGTACTACCACATTATGCCGTAACTGTGCGTGATTTTCTTAATCGGAAACTTTCCACATCTCTGGATAGTACGGAGGGGTTCAATTGAGCGGCTTCCCTTATCACCAGATCCAACGCCCTTAGATTTTATTCTATGGGGACACTTAAAGTCGAAAATTTATGCTACACGACGAACCCACTTGAGGAGCTTCGTCAGCGAATTGTTCAAGAATGTCGTCAGATAACTCCCGAAATGCTTCCAAATGTTCGTTCGGAAGTGGAGCAAAGATTTTATTATTTAATGGAAGCGGAGGAAAATCAATTTGAACATTTAATAAAATAACATTATTTCATTCATTGATATTTTGTCTTATTCTTTAACTGATGATTTTATTGTCATATCCAAACCAAAATTTAAAAAGTCGTACGTCGTCGTGAGCAGAATTGAAAAGGCTTTAAAATGAGGTGTCACTTAACAGAGGGTGCCATTTAAAGTTTAAGGGTATTTTACGCCCCTGTCTAAGGGGTAACTTCCAAGATACCAAAATTTACGCCGTCACGTGTCCCTCATGAAAAGAAAATCCACGTGTCTCAGGTTTTTTTTTCATAATATCTCCACCCCTCATTCTAATTGCAAGGAGTAGACTAGAAGTCAGAGGTTGTGTGGAAGGAGGATTGGCATATTACTACTATTTAGTGTAAGAATGAAGGAAACCTGGAAAATCTCATTAATTATGGGAGTGGTCAAACGCCGACCGGTATCCATCTTTCACATTGACCCAAACCAACGTTCTTCCACACTACTATACCCGCAGAGAGGGTGTTTTTTAGGGGCACTGCCTCCTGGTACCTCCGCCACGAGTTTAATAATATTTGTCTTTAATAATAATTACTTAAATCATCAGTTCAACTTTCATTAATCTACACCAAATTTCGAAAATGTACAAGGTGTCCGGAAAGGTCATGTCAAACATGAAGGGGTCTACAGGAGAGGTCAAAATAGTTGTAGTACTTCATAAAAAAATTTCCTATCCGGCTTCGTTGTGGAGTTATTCGCCTTCAAAGAAAGAAGTTGAAAAACAAATTCCAATTGTAACTTCTAAGTCGTTACCATGACAACAATGAAATTTGGATAATTTCCAAGTTTGAACTGATATTCAGTATGCCTTTATTATACAGGAGCAGACAAAATTATGCATTTAAATTTATACATCTTTGACAGCGATGCCAAATTTGAAATTTTTCTTTTGCTAAAAAAAGGTAT